CGAGGGCTTGAGTCAGCAATTGCCTGTATTTTCGGACGGAGGCGGGAGAGCAGGCAACGTCAATGTCGACTGGTCGAGGGAGGAGAAGGTCGGCGTTGATCCGGCCTTTCCGTCCACCGTGGTGCAACTCGAATGGAGTCACGCCGATCGCCGGATGCACCGAAGTGTTGTAGGCGAACTCGATGTCGGGGAGGCGGTCAACCCAATCTTTCTGGTCCGGACGGATGAGTGTACGAAGCATCATTTGAGCGGTTTGATGTGCCCGCTCCGTCTGCCCGTCTGTCTGTGGATGCCGAGCCGAACCTGGTTTCATCGTCGTCCCGGACTCCTGCATGAGCGCAGTCCAAAATGCTGACATGAAACGAGCGTTGCGGTCGCTGACTATGTCTTCTGGTACACCGTGGCCACAAATCCAACCAGTGTGCAAGAGGCGTGCCATCTCGGGAGCCGTGGAGTAGTACTTGCAAGGAAGAAAACGCGCGTACTTACTCAATCGGTCGACAACCGTGAGGATGCCGTCGTGCCCGAGCCGGTCGCGGGGAAACGGACCAGTGACGTCCATGGCAATGGAGAGACCAGCTTCCCGTGGGATAGGCATCGGGCGTAACTCGCCGTAGGGATTGCGGTTGCAGGGCTTGCTGCGTCGGCAAACTTCGCAAGAGTTGCAATACCGAGTGGCGTCGGTAATGAGATCGGGCCATCGGAATCGCTGTCGAAGCCGTGCAATAGTGCGGTTGACTCCGAAATGGTCGGCAAGTCGCGAATCATGATACTCGCCGAGGAGGCGAGTCCGAAGACGGCGGTCGCATGGGACACATAGTAAGTCCTTGCCTCTCGAGTGGAGGAGCAAATACCCGTCGGCAATGCGATAGTGGCTGGCCGGCGGGTGATCCGAAGATAGCTGTGCATATAGCGTGGCGAAGTCCGGATCAGACTCGTATGCCTGGATGAAGTGTCGCTGAAGCTCCTCGTCGAATGCAAAGGCATGATGTGTCATAGCGCAAAGATCAAGTCTTCGCGATAGTGCATCTGTTGCGCGATTTGAGAGGCCGGGTAGATGTTTCGGTGTGAAGTCAAACTGGTCGATGAAGTACATCCATCGTCCGATCGTGCTACTCACTGTATCCTGCGTCTTGTAGTAGGTCAATGGATTGTTGTCTGTGACCCATGTGAACCTACGGCGCCCAAGGAGGAAGTGCCGCCATCGCTTGAGAGCCATGACGAACACGAGTAGCTCCTTCTTCCTTGCACCATCAAGTGAGTTGATGGGAGGCACTTTGTGGCTGAAATACTCCATAGGGTGCCAGTCGTCGCCGTCGTGTTGTTCCAAGACTGCCCCAATGCCATAGCCGGAAGCGTCCGTAGTCACTCTCGTCGGCAAGGTGGGGTCATAGATGCTAAGGACGGGTGCCATGAGCATAGCCGACTGCCCTAATGCCATAGCCGGAAGCGTCCGTAGTCACTCTCGTCGGCAAGGTGGGGTCATAGATGCTAAGGACGGGTGCCATGAGCATAGCCGTCTTAAGTGCTTGGAATGACCGGCGTGCGTCGTCATCGAATATGAATGGCACCTTTGGCGACTGTAACCTCGTCATAGGTGCAACAATCCTGGAGTATCTGATGACGAATCGCTGATAGTAGCCCGCCAATCCCATGAATGAACGAACGTCCGTGGTGTTGGTGGGCTCGGGCCATACTCGTAGGGCCTCGATCTTGTTCGCGAGCGGACGGATGCCTTGCGGCGTCACATAATGGCCCAAGTACTCCAACTCCTGCCACGCGAATTCGCACTTGTCGCGGTTGGCTTTGTACTTGGCTTGTCGTAGCCGCTCCAAAACGGTGCGCAGGTGTTCCACATGCTCCTCCAAACTCCGGTTGTAGACCAGAATGTCGACGAGGTAGATAAGTACGAAACGGTCTAGCATGTGTCGGAACTCCGTTGTCATAGCCGCTTGGAAAGTGGCCGGGGCATTCGCAAGGCCAAATGGCATAACCAGCCATTCGAAATGCCCATATCGCGTCTTAAACGTGGTCTTGTAACGGTCCTCCTTGCGAATCTTGAGTTGGTGATATCCCGACTTGAGGTCCAGCTTGGAGAAAAACTTGGCGCCACCCAGTCGCTCGAGAAGGTCGTCGATACGTGGGAGAGGGCCGACGTTCCTGATCGTCTGCGCGTTGAGCTTGCGATAATCGATGCACAACCGCAGGTCCTTGTTCTTCTTCCGGACGAAGAGAACAGGAGCACCGTATGGCGATGAGCTAGGCCGAATCCAGCCTTTCTCCAGAAGGTCGTCGAGTTGTGCCCGAAGCACACTTAACTCTTCCGCGCTCATTCGGTAGATGCAACCGCGCGGAGGTACGGCCCCGTCCTCGAGGATGATCTCGTGGCGGATGGGTCGATCCGGTACTACTCCGTGCGGGCCTTCAAACACGTCGCTGTAGGCGTCGAGAAGCTCGGTGATGCGTGGATCCGAAGGTGAGTCCGTCGATGAAGCGTCATGGGGCGGGAGGGCGTGGAGAAAACACACCCCCATCTCCTCGATGTCGTCTCTGATGATGGAAACTCGCATGCTTGCGGCGGATACCACGTGGCAGCTGATCGAAGGATGAGGAAGAGGCACTGTGCATGGAACTAATACTCCGTTCCTGTAACGAGCGTGAGGCTGAGGGTGAGCCGAGGGAGAGGAGAGAGAGGGGGAGAGTGAGAGCACACACACACACTCACTCACTTGACACGACGGACTCAGACTGAGGATCGGATGCAGACACAGTGGCAAGGCACAAAGTCGAAGTCTTGGATTCCCGAATGCCGAAAACAGCAAGTCACACTGAGTACGAGTGCAGCAGCAGAGAACTGGTCCGAGACTGGTCCCCGTACCGTACGGGGAGCCGGTATAAGTACCGGTGACACGTACGGTAC